TCTAGCTAGCTTCCTCTCATACTCTAATTTTTTGTCCTGATCAACCTAATCATTCTCTGCCATTTTTTGTATTCTGACCAGTTATCTGACCTGCAATTAATATATGTAAAACTATATACTTCCTCCTTAAATTTGAAGCTCTCTTTAATTCCTCGGTTAACTACAGATGGCGGGTCTCTCTCTTGGACTTTTTTTATTTATTGTACAAATGTACTAATTCTGAGAATTATGAAATATCCCCTTAAATATCACCTCCTCCTTCTTGATTGATTTATCTGCTAGCCTAAAATCTCAGTGCATTTCAGCTAGCATGGCTTTCATGCTTACATGGCTACCCTTTTTAAGTTTGAAACATTATCTTAAAATCATCTTTCCCTCCCTCAACTAGATGAAAAATTCAATCATTTATGATTGCTGCTACCTAAAGGTACCTTTACTCTGACGTCATTAAGCTGTCCTGTCACACTAGACTTGCCAAGTCTAGTACAGCCTGCTCTCTAGTCAATCCACAATGTGCTGCTCTAAGAAACTGTCTCGAAACCATTCTATGTTCTCCCCATTGAAGCTACCAATATAAATCTGATTTTTCCAATTTATTTTGTTGATTAAAATCACTCATAATCCTTGCCATCCCATTATCACAAACATCCAATATTTATTCTTGTATGATTCATCTCACATTATAGCTACTGTTTGGGGGCTTGTAGGTCATTTCCCCCAGGGACTTCTTTCTCCTACTATTCCTCATCTCCACCAAAACTGATTCTATATCCTAATCTCCTCAACCAAGATTATCTTTAACTATTGTACTAATTCCACCTTTGATTAGCAGAACTGGCCATCTATCTTCATCTAGATTCATATTCTTCTTGAATGTCATATACCTCTCAATATTCAGAACCTAGTCCTTGTCATCCTTGGGGAGGCAGGAATGTAGTGGTAAAGACACTAATAATAATCCAGTAGCACATTTAATTCAATAAAAATCTGGAATTAGAAACTGGCCTAATGACAACATGTAACCATTGTCAATTGCCATAAAAATAACCCAGCTGTTTCACTAATGTCCTTTAGGGAAGGAAATCATGTGACTCTAGACCCACAGAAATGTGGTTAATTCTCTGCACAATTAAAGATGAGCAATAAATGCTTGATGGCATAAAGAGATGTTAAATCAGATGAACAAACGTTTAGTCATAGAAGTAGAGAGATGTCAAGTGGAAACTCCAGAGCTTGCAGCGTAGCCACCTCAAGTTGTGGCCAACAATTATTGGAATGATTGAAATTAAGGATGCTCCAGTTGCTGGAAGCGATTAGTGTATATGTCTCAGAGGATAGAGGGACAGGTGATTACAGAAATTGAGATGGTCAATTCACAAAGCGGGTATTTGAAAACAAAGATAAGAATTTTAAAATCCAGATGTTGCATGAGTAGGAGTCAGAATAGGTCACTGAGCACAGGGAATGGGCAGAACATGATGTGAATTAGGACACAGGCAGCAGAGTTCTGGATCATTTCAAGTTAAAAGGGGCTAGACTTAACCTAGCTTCTGGACATCAGTCCCATTATGTTGGTTTATTCTTAGCAGTCACACATACTGTCTTGAGAAAGTGTGTTAGTTTATTTTGTGGATTGATAACTACTGGCACTAGTTTGTGACTGACTAAATACATTTCTCATAGTTCCTCACTAATCACAGAGAGAAATACTTTAATTAACTTTTTGTCCTTTATCATGGCATAAAAACAAACATGCAAAAACCATGTTCTTAAGTATTGTAAAACTTACTTTGATCATCACAGTATAGTTTATGTTGTAACTTGTTATATATCCTTTTCCTTACTGATTCTAGAATTACATTTCCTGGCAACATACTGATTTTTTTCTAAACTTAACAAATTGGGAGTCTTAAAATATATATTCATATGAATTGTTTAAAAAAAAGAGATAAAAAATTGTCAAAGATAATGTATTAGGTAATTATTTGACTTTCTAAAGATTGAAAATATTATTATGCAGCTTTGTAATCAGTAAATACCACAGCTGCATTGATTTGGGAAGTTCTTGATTCTAGGTACTCAACAGGTGTCTCTGGCACAGATCCTCCCTCCAGTAGTGAACATAACTAATAAGATAGGGACAGAAACATATATTAACTCTTTGACGTGTTCATAGAAAGCCAACAGGCAGGTTATCACTTAGACTTTGAAGTTAGAAGTTGTCTTGTCTAAGTAAAGTAAGCTGACTTATTGATGAAGTGATGCATGAGTAGAATTGTTATTTTGTGCTGATTGCATTGTGTTCAATCATGACTGTTGTTCTTTATGTTCACTCTCTATTTGAGAAATAAAACAGCTATATTATTTATTGCAGACTTGTTTTATCACAGTATAAATGACCTCCCATTTGTTGGAAAAACACATATGAAAGCATGTGCAAAAATATTGTATCCAGTTCATATATCAAGGAGGGTCACATTCTTACACTCCTAGAGTCAAGCCGTCCTACAAATATTGAACCGTGGGAGTTTACTTGGACGTAAGGATTTGGAATCTGCCAATGCTGCCATTGAACCTAATAAGACATCCATGGAAGATCAAAATTGTGATGAAATTACTCAAGGGACATGGATAACTGGCCGAATGGACAAATAAGAGACAGGTGCTGTTTAATGTACAAAATTATAATTAATATGTTTGGAAGTAAGTTCAGTGAAAGGGAAGTACAGTCTATATGATACGATTTTAAGTGGTATAAAGGAGCAGAATATCTTGACTTTCAAATGTACAAATCAATTTGCATCTTAAGTAGACAAGGTTATGAAATGGGCAAATAAAACCTTTGATTTAATGTATATAGAAATTGACCTAGGGATTAAAAGTATGTTCTGTTCGTCTTCTATCACTCATACATTCTGAGCTGAAAAATGAGTTTTGATAACAAAAGCGCAAGATAATGGGTGAGCAAGTATAACGGTATAAAACATACACCAACCTGATGATATCTTAAATCCCTATTCCTTGTGACATGTTGATAAGAACATGTAGTCCTGTAAATCTAAAACGTTTGTGTGTCTATACCACAGCGTATGTGGAGTCGAAAGGACCTTTACTCCTAGATTGTGACTGTACTACCGTAATTTGCCAAGCTTCGGGCAATTCGGAATATGATCATCGCTTTTGTATTGTGTTGGATCTGCTACTATATACTTACCATAAGACTATATTTACTTTTCATAAGAGCAAATACAAAATACTAGATCGGGATAGCAGCTCCTAGACTATAGGGAGGGAGAAATAGGTTAACATTTAAAACGACCACTGGCAAGTGCTAAACGCAATATAGCCACATACAAATGACTTTCAACATTTTCTGATTCTATTCCAATTTTCAGGATGTGTTTTTGGTCTCTTCTGTAATGTCACCTGTCGCAGTATAAATAGCTTTACCCTGAAATAGTTCTGTTCCAATATCGTAAAGAGCCTCATATGGTGTGTGTATGTGGCCCCTCCCACAAAGCTGTTTCGCAATAATACAAGAAATGGCACCGATGAAGAATACTTACTGGTTTTGAATAAAACGAATATGAATCCTGACCTTTTACGCAATGAAGTTAACCACAATAATCATCACTTATGAGTAGCCTATTTTGTTTATGACATAGTTTGGTTCTGTGAGAAGAAAATGTTTTATTTACATATTTTGTGATGTTATTTTTAGTGACGGCCATGTGGGATTACTGGTAGGCGTATGTGTTAGGCGTTGTTTGAAGAATTTTCGGATCTCTTTGCATACCAGTGGTATACGGTAACAATTCGCTGCTGGTTTATTTGTCCTCACTATGAATTACAGCAGTGTTTATTGACGCTAATTCTAGTTACGGTGACCGTGTATGTTACCAATGGTCCCAACTTTTAGTTCACGCATGACATACGGTCTCTCCAAAAAACCAGCGCTCGCCCTCTCTTGTAACGCTGCTGTTTTCTCTGAATCGCTGGCAGACACTGCTTCAGATCTGGCTGCGAGACTTTGTGGATTACTAGGTCATTTTAGCCGCACACTTCCACTTAATTATTTATTCCACAATCCTAAAATACTTCATCGCCTCTCGACGGATTTGAGCCCTGGCAACCCCAGAACACGACGAAATGACAAATGAGGAAGAGACTGCTGGAGCTTTCGGCGTTTCACCTCGGGGGAGCCGGTTTCCTGGTGACTAAAATGTCCAATGACAACTTTGTGTCTATGATTGACCCTCAGGAGACAATCATTTCCCGTCTCGTAGGTTTCCGCCAAACCGAGCGAGTGAGAGAGAGAGGGATAGAGAAAAAAAAAACCGAAACCTAGACAGGCGGAGCCTGGGAGTGGTGGAGTCTGAAAGTAGCCGAGAGCGCCGCTGATACTTGGCGAGCTGCAGAGGCGTGTGAGGCACCCAAGGAAGCGGGAGCTGGCTTTTCACGTTCAGCCTGAATCATCCCGCCCCGACTCTCCAAGTTGGAGAAGTGGAGCTCGGCAGGAGGCGGTGTGTGTGAGCTCTTTGGGGGAAGATGATGTAAGAGGCGCTTTGCCAGCTGCTTTCTCTCTCTCACTGGGAGATGTGACAAACCGGGAGCTTACAGCAGTCTATCCGGAGCTGGGGATCAGGAGCAACCCCAGAGCGGAGGGCAGGGAGGGAGGGAGCTAAACAAATAGGGTCACTCCGTTCGGCCGCCAGAGCACAGGGACCGAGCCCCTCCCTCCTCCTCTCCCCCCCCCCCCGCTCCCGGGGGGCCGGACTCTGCTCCAATACTCCATCTCTCTCCCCCCCCGCCCCATTACAGTGGAGGCGCTGGAGTCGGGGGGAAGCGGAGCTGGGAGTCTCCCGGTGTCCCGGGTGGGCCGGGGTAGGGGAGGCTGCTCTCTGACCAAGTGCGCTGCCCCGCCGCCGCCGCCGCCGCCGCCGGGAGGGGTGGAGGCGGCCTCTCTCTCCTGGCCAGAAGTTGGCTCCGGGCTCCCGGCCATGGCTCTGAACGCGAACTGCAGGCCGGCTCCCCCGCTGGCGGCCCGGGAGAGCAGCGGGCCCCCGCTGCCTGATGTGGTGGAGCTGAATGTGGGCGGCCAGGTGTACTTCACCCGCCTGTCCACCCTGACCAGCCTCCCGAACTCGGTGCTCGGCAGGATGTTCGGCCACAAGAGGAACTCGGCAGGCCCCGAGCTGGCCCGGGACAACCGCGGGCGCTTCTTCATCGACCGGGACGGCTTCCTATTCCGTTACATCCTGGACTACCTGCGGGACAGGGCGGTGGTACTGCCCGAGCTCTTCCCGGAGAAGATGCGCCTCCGGCGGGAGGCGGAGTTCTTCCATCTGCCTGAGTTGGTCCGCATGCTGAGCCCGGACGAAGGGCACAGCCCCGGCCTCGAGGAGCCCTCTCACAGCGACCTGGATGAGCTGTCCCAGGGCAGCGACCTCCCCCGGGCCGGCAGCCAGGCAGCGGAGCGCAGGGCCGGCTTCATCACGCTGGGTTACCGCGGCTCCTGTGTCCTGGGCCGGGATAGCCTGCAGGGGGATGCTCGCCTCTTCCGCCGGGTCCCCCGTATCCTCGCCTGCGGGCGGATCGGCCTCCTCAAGGAAGTCTTCGGAGACAATGTGAACGAGAGCAGGGACCCAGACCGGACGCCGGACAGGTACACGTCCCGCTTCTACCTCCGCTACCGTCAACTGGAGAGAGCCTTCGACACCCTGGCGGAAGCAGGCTTCACTCTACTAGGGAGCAACTCCTCTCTGACCGGCTCAGTGTGCGGCCAGGCGATTGACGACAGGGCATGGAGCAGCTACACCGAATACCTCTTCTACCGTGAGTACATTCCGGTTGTCTTCCTGTTTGCACCTAGCACGTTGTCTGCACCGTTCTCCAACTCCTCTTAGTCCACACCCTTTATTACCCATGTCCCGGTGCATACTCATCAGCCAACACCAGCTCCAGTTCCCCCACACACTACCAAGTGCACAGCCAATATCCAGCGCCCAACTATATTCCACAACTACCACCCAGCGCCCCAAATACTGCTCCTATCTGCTGTCAGCGCCCGACCTCAGACAACACCCTCTATCCAGTGTGCACCCACGAGTCCAGCGCCCAGTTACAGTGTGCACCCACTGTCCAACATGTTGCGGTGAGTTTGAGACGCAGTAGTTTGGTATCGAGTACATTTCCGTCCTCAAGCAACATTGAGCGTCGCCTAGCTTTCCGAGCCCTAACCGAGAACTAGCGCCCTGTCACCACCGACTGTACACTCGAACCCTTTGCTGAGAGAGCGCACCATGTCCGCTGCCCCCTGTTTGGACAGAAACTAAAATATAATATGACAGAAAATATTATTCGATGGTGAACAGGAGGTAAGGGTTCAAGTGACCATCGAACAACAAAACCTGGACAGGGATGCTGTACGTTGCGCATACACATTGCGTTTCTTTGTTAATAGCCCAAAGAAAAGAGCCCCGTAACCGCCGGAGAGTCTGTCCGGAAGGAGAACCACTAGCGGTGTTGCCGGGAAAGAGATACAGTACAGGAATGAAGTTGTAACAGTCTTTCCCGCTCCGAGAAGGAGCGGTTCAGCACCTGGACAGCGACTGCCAGAACAGTGGGGAATGTGACAAGTTCTCTGCCGTAAGAACTTTGTGATGCTGGATTGCTCGCTGCACTTTCTGGCGGCGGGAGCGGCTAGTTTCTAACTGGGTTGTAAAACAAGCAGCTTCAGCCAGCTTCTCCCAAAGCTACTCTGTCCCAGGGCTGGGAATGAAGCTCAAAGCCCGAATGGGTTTGATCAGTAGCCCAGACCATTAACAGGAGCTGGCAAGGGCGGTTCAGGGTCCGTGCGATACGAGCCGAGGACCCACAGAAAGCGAAAGAGAGGATGAGATTCCGTTTCTTCGGAAAAGTGATTTGCAACACTTGGATGTTATTAGTATGATTATTGCGAGTATCGGACACTGGCAGGGAGGCTCGTCATAAACAATTGGGACCCAGTCTACCGGTAAAATTGCAACTTCAAATCTGAGGGACATGACTTTAGCGTGAAAAAGAAATAGCGCTCCCCAAGTGCTGCGTTCTCGGGGCTGAGACACGGATAACAGACACACTTTTACAGGTTTACGATAAAACACCGGCGCGCTCAATCCTGACGATAGCGCTTCAGCTGGCAGCCGTCACAATGCCGCTTGCTAACATTTCCTAATCCATCTTTGTTACAGAGCCAGTCAGGTCTCTTTAAATGGGGCATTCTTTTTAAGGCAACGTTTATCTAAGGCAGTCGTCATTTACAAATCCTGCAACGGTCCTGAAGAACCTGTAATGAAGGAAAGAATCGAAAAGCAGTTTCTAGCTGATTTTACAACAAATATCACTATTTGACAATTCAGGGGGTTTACAAAACCGGGTATACACGGTCAGTGTTTAATTTATAATACCTTTGGTCCTGTATTTCTGTATTTTGATGAGGTATTACTGATGATCTAGCGATAAGTTGTCTGAACCAGGACAGTATTCGTCATTTTTTTTTTGTTGCTTTAGTTTCATAGCAGAGGATTTACCAACGGGATTGTAAAGCAGAAGCAACAACTTGGTGCAGCAATTGCAGAACAAGGCTAACGTGCTGGCCAAACGTTGATAAACAAATACCTACTTATTGCGATTGACTATTGCAGGTTGTACTGAGGGTAAGCTCTTTCCTCTATGTTACAAACTTAGATATATTTATATTTCCCTCTGGTAAGTTATATCAGCTGATGTTAATTACCATATGGAGGCTCTCTCAACATGAGTACTGGGACAATACTATGGCCTCTTAAAAGTCCATGTCAGCATGCCCTGTCTTTTCCGGTAAGGCCCAAACTATCTTTTTGAGCCTATTGAATGTACTGATTGGCTTGAGTTTCTTTGTTGCTTAATGCTCCACATTAAAATCTTATTGCCCTCTAGATGTGACAGTAGTTCTCTTCATCTACTGCACAGTTACTATTACTTATTCAAGTAGAGCAGGCCAAAGAAAGGACCGAAGCTGTCAAATGGGGTGTTGGGGTATAATCTGGTTTCTACAATTTAACACAATGAAGATGTTTACTTCTAAATTTTTTCAATAGTTTTCAATTTAGAATGAATGTAGAATTGGTAACCAGAGATTGTACTGATTCTTCAAAGATGGTTAGTCAAAACAGTAACTGAATCTGTTGATTTAATATACAGGATACAATTATTATTGAGTGCAATATTAATAGAAATAAATTTATTAATGAAACAATCTAACAATGATAATCCCAGGCTGTCAAATCTGAGGACTTTTTAACCATTCCATAAGTGACTTCATTGCCCTTTGTTCATATAGGGACATTTTTATGTTGGACTTTGGCAAGGATTAGATCTACTGACAACTTAGCTCCCACCAGTGATATGCCAGTTGGTCCAGTAACATTGTAAGTGTTACAGCTGCTATTTGCATATTCTTCCTTCCATCCTGAACAGTTGTATATAGTCATCAGTTAAGTAAAAAGACAATTAATTCATTTTGAAAACCCCACTGTGCACATCAGGAGTCAACAATAGAAGGCATGCTGAGTGATCAGCAAGTAATCAAAATAATTATCTTCAGTTTAATGACAGAGCTCATTCTGCTGCAAGATATAAAATAGTTGGGGGTGCTCTGACTTATTGTCTCCGACTGAGCTAACACGTAGTTATTGCGATTGTTATGCCTCAAATAAGACAATACAGTGACCTGAATTTTGCAGCTCCATCATGATACATCAGCATCGTTATTCTTCTGAAATTGACAAAAACCTCTGAAGGAAACTGTCATGCAGTTAAATGTGGAAATCTTGTAGCAGGTCATGTAGTGCAATGGGTGGTGTCTCTGCTTCTGAGCCAGAAGCTCAGGGTAGAAGTCCCACTTTAAGGACTTGATGGCAATAGAATGGTGTTCATAAGACAGCTAAGCAGGTTGATTATCAACCTATAAATCCTTCCACTGTGCCTATGTTAGATGGTAAAAGATTTTTCTAATCGGCCAAAGCCACGCTGTAGCTGCAATGCAACAGCCTTACTATCATAAAAGACTATGTGTGTATGTTCGTATTGTGTATTCCATGGCAAGCATCCTTCTCACTTCAAGGGTTGATGAGAAAAAAGGAAATCCAAATGTGATCGTGTACATTTCCATTAAGTATGCCATGGAAGATTGCATCCCCCCAGCCCCAATTGTGTTAATTACAAATCACCGAGCTAATGAAACTTACTCTTTTAAACTATTAGTTTAACTGTCAAAAAAAATTCAAAAAGAATTTCATGTTGTTGCATGAGATGTAATTGGATTTTGAACAGAGTAGTATGTTTATAATTATTAGTGAAAAGCCACACTGGCCCTGGGGGTACTTGTGCATAAAACACAGCAAGCTAGCGCAGAGGTGCAGCAGGTAATCAGGAAGATCAATGGAATGCTGGCTCTTATTTCAAGGAGGTTGAAGTATGAGAGTAGTTAAGCCTTACTGCAGTTGTACTGGTGAGACCATATCTGCAATACTCTGAACAGTTTTGGTCCCCTTACTTAAGGAAAGATATCACATCATTGTAGGCAGTTCAGAGAAGATTCACTTGGATGATCTCTGGTGTGGAGCGATTGTCATATGACCAAAGGCTGAACAGGTCAGTGATGAATGCTGTTGCTTTATTGCTGACCAGAAAATCTGGGTCATTATTTTCCATCATATGAGAAGGTAATTGAGAGTAAGAAACAAGTTCAGTACTGGCATAATGAATTTATATTTTGACATATCTACTGTAGCCAAGAGGAGAGGGAGGCATTTCTTCAGAGACCATTGGTAAAAATCCTGGGTCAGTTACAAAGCATTGCTCCCTATAAGCTGGAAGGAAATTCTCTTTGCTTTTCCCAACATGGAAATGATGAGCAGTGTGGATTCAATCCACATTAAAGTGTTGTGTGGCATAAAATGTTCCATTACATTTCACTGCCCAACATCACATACAATGCTGTTACTTTGTTACACTGAGTTAGTTGTTGGATATTGGTCTATTTTTACATCTTTATTCTGGAATAATTGCCCGAGAAGATAGATGCCTGACTCTGTAATGACTCAATAATGCTTCCTACTCAGCCTTAGAGGTGATCCTGATGATCCAATGCAACTCCAACATTCTAAAACTGGGAATGACTTCATAAGTTGCCCTAAGATGGAAATTGTAAGTTGAGAGCTGGCTAATATGTTTCTGGGCTTGGTATTTCTATGTTGTAGAAAGCTATTCATAAATTTGATTTAAAAATGCTTTCTAATAATTCAAGTTACTCATCAACGTTAACTAAAAATTGTATCTCACTCTGTACTGAGAAATTGCTTTGTTGTATTAGGTTACTCTTCAGGTTCTATAAAGCATAGTATTGATATTTTTTATTGTTCGCTGACCTCTAAATGCACTGTAATCAATAATCTGCTGGCATTTCCTATTCCAGAGTTGGGCAGAGTAGGGTTATATTTATAATTGACGATGTTAAATATCATGTTTTAATTCATTTTTAAGTGGTTTTTTTTCTATTTTAAAAAAACTTCTCACACACCAGTATACCTGCAACATCTTTCATTTATTTTCAGTGAATGAACAATACTTTCAGTCCATAGACCAATAATAATTCCTTTGAGTAGTTAACAAAAACACTGGCTCACCTGAATGAATTTTACTATTTCAAGGTTCATTGTCAGCTAACAGTGTTTTACAGAACTGTAGACAGAAGAGGGTGCAGTGGCACAGCTCATGATATGAAAGAATTATTTTATTCCAATGTCGTATTA